CTTCCTCTTAAGCACTTTCCTGAGCTACAGTCTGTTGCTGTTCCAGTTGAAGGTCTTGCAGCTCTTCAGTGGTTAGCTCTTCCCTGTGGTCTTCCACCAACTCTCCCACACCCTCACCACTCACCTCCAACCCCATGGACTTCCCCAAAGACAATAGATTCCACAACAGGCGTAAGGTCGTCAGGATCAGCCTCAGACCCTTCAAAATCCTTGTCGAGGACACATTCTGACCACAATTTTCTCCAAGCAGAGTTCAAAGTCCTGGAAGTCACTCTCTGCCAAGCCTTACCTGTAAGGCTTATGCAGTGGAGGATATTTACGTCATTCCTCCAGAACTCTCTTAGGGCTAATTCATTGTCCGAGGTCACTTCAAAGCATCTTTGAAACGTTGCTTTCATGTAGAGTTTTTTGAAGTTATAGAAATAACCTGCTGGTCCATGGGCTGGATGAGAGGAGTGGTGTTAGGAGGCAAGAACTTCGCTGTGAAAGGTAGATGGGATACAAGGAATATAGAAGCAGTAAGTAAGAGAGAGGTGAAGGTATATAAATTAAAAGAGGAGGCAGGTAGGGTAAGATATAAACAACTGTTGGAGGATAAATGGGCCAGTGAGAGTATAGGCAGTGGGGTCGAAGATGTATGGGTAGGTTTAAGAGTGTAGTGTTAGAGTGTTCAGCAGAAGTTTGCAGTTACAGGAAAGGGGGTGTGGGAGGGAAGAAGAGCGATTGGTGGAATGATGATGTAAAGAGAGTAGTAAGGGAGAAAAAGTTAGCTTATGAGAGGTTTTTACAAAGTAGAAGTGATACAAGGAGGGAAGAGTATATGGAGAGAAAAATAAGAGGTTAAGAGAGTGGTGAAGCAATGTAAAAAGAGAGCAAATGAGAGAGTGGGCGAGATGTTATCAACAAATTTTGTTGAAAATATAAAAAAGTTTTGCAGTGAGATTAATAAGTTGAGGAAGCCTAGGGAACAAATGGATTTGACAGTTAAAAATAGGAGAGGAGAGTTATTAAATGAAGAGGTAGAGGTATCGGGAAGATGGAGGGAATATTTTGAGGAATTGTTAAATGTTGATGAAGATAGGGAAGCTGTGATTTCGTGTATAGGGCAAGGAGGAATAACATCTTGTAGGAGTGAGGAATAGCCAGTTGTGAGTGTGGGGGAAGTTTGTGAGGCAGTGGGTAGAATGAAAGGGGGTAAGGCAGCTGGGATTGATGGGATAAAGATAGAAATTGTAAAAGCATTAGAGGATATAGTTTTGGAGTGGTTGGTGCTATTATTTAATAAATGTATGGAAGAGGGTAAGGTACCTAGGGATTGGCAGAGAGCATGCATAGTTCCTTTGTATAAAGGCAAAGGGGATAAAAGAGAGTGCAAAAATTATAGGGGAATAAGTCTGTTGAGTATACCTGGTAAAGTGTATGGTAGAGTTGTTATTGAAAGAATTAAGAGTAAGATGGAGAATAGGATAGCAGATGAACAAGGAGGCTTTAGGAAAGGTAGGGGGTGTGTGGACCAGGTGTTTACAGTGAAACATATAGGTGAGCAGTATTTAGATAAGAGTAAAGAGGTTTTTGTGGCATTTATGGATTTAGAAAAGGCATACGACAGGGTGGATAGAGGGGCAATGTGGCAGATGTTGCAGGTGTATGGTATAGGAGGTAGGTTACTGAAAGCAGTGAAGAGTTTTTTATGAGGATAGTGAGGCTCAGGTTAGAGTATGTAGGAAAGAGGGAAATTATTTCCCAGTAAAAGTAGGCCTTAGACAAGGATGTGTGATGTCACCGTGGTTGTTTAATATATTTATAGATGGGGTTGTAAGAGAAGTAAATGCGAGGGTCTTGGCAAGAGGTGTGGAGTTAAAAGATAAAGAATCAAACACAAAGTGGGAGTTGTCACAGATGCTCTTTGCTGATGACATGGTGCTTTTGGGAGATTCTGAAGAGAAGTTGCAGAGGTTGGTGGATGAATTTGGTAGGGTATGTAAAAGAAGAAAGTTAAAAGTGAATATAGGAAAGAGTAAGGTTATGAGGATAAAAAGATTAGGTGACGAAAGACTGGATATCAGATTGGAGGGAGAGAGCATGGAGGAGGTGAATGCATTCAGATATTTAGGAGTGGACGTGTTAGCGGATGGGTCTATGAAGGATGAGGTGAATCACAGAATTGATAAGGGGTAAAGGGTGATGGTGCACTAAGGAGTCTGTGGAGACAAAGAACTTTGTCCGTGGAAGCAAAAAGGGGAATGTATGAGAGTATAGTTGTACAACACTCTTGTATGGGTGTGAAGCATGGGTGATGAATGTTGCAACGAGGAGAAGGCTGAAGGCTGTGGAGATGTCATGTCTGAGGGCAGTGCATGGTGTGAATGTAATGCAGAGAATTCGTAGTTCAGAAATTAAGAGAAGGTGTGGAATTACCAAAACTATTATCCAGAGGGCTGAGGAGGGGTTGTTGAGGTGATTCAGACATGTAGAGAGAATGGAACAAAACAGAATGACTTTGAGAGTGTATAAATCTGTAGTAGAGGGAAGGCAGGGTAGGGGTTGGCCTAGGAAGGGTTGAAGGGAGGGGGTAAAGGGGGTTTTGGATGCAAGGGGCTTGGACTTCCAGCAAGCGTGCATGAGCATATTTGATAGGAGTGAATGGAGACAAATGGTTTTTAATACTTGATGTGTTGTTGGAGTGTGAGCAAAGTAACATTTATGAAGGGATTCAGGGAAACCGGCAGGCCGGACTTGAATCCTGGAGATGGGAAGTACAGTGTCTATACTCTGAAGGAGGGGTGTTAATGTTGCAGTTTTATAACTATAGTGTAAAGCACCCCTCTGGCAGGACAGTGATGGAGTGAATGATGATGAAAGTTTTTCTTTTTCGGGCCACCCTGCCTTGGTGGGAATCGGCCAATGTGTTAATAATAAAAAATAAAACTTCACTGTTATAAAACTGAAGTCCATAATCAGTTGGTCTTCCAAGTCTGGAGGATGAGCAGGAGCATTGTCCAGTACCAGGAGGTACTTGAGTGGCAAGTTGTTTTCCAGGAGGTATTTTTTCACACTCGGGCCAAACACTTCATGGACTCAGTCAATGAAAATTTGCCTCATAACCCATGACTTATTATTTGCTATCCACATCACACACAATTGACTCTTGATGACATTGTTTTTCTTGAACACTCGGGGATTTTCAGAGTGATACACCATTAAAGGCTTCACTTTGAAATCTCCACTAGCATTACCACAGAACAAAACAATTAGCCTATCCTTCATAGGCTTGTGTCCTGGCAGTGCCTTTCCTCCTGCGTGATGTAGGTCCTCTTTGGCATTTTCTTCCAAAAGAGGCCTGTTTCGTCAAAATGGAACACTTGTTGGGGGAGGAATCCTTCAGCCTCAACGTACTCCTTGAATTCGTCAATGAATTCTTTGGCTGCATATTTGTCTGAACTTGCAGCCTCACCATGCCTTACAACACTGTGTATGCCACTTCGCTTCTTGAATCTGTTGTACCAGCCTCTGCTGGGCTTAAATTCACTAACAGCAGCACTTGTTCCAGGCATTTTCTTTACGAAATCCACATGCAACTGCCTTACCTTTTCACAAATGATCAACTCCACAACACTATCTCCTGCTACTGTTTTTCATTGATCCACACCAACAACAAATTCTCCACTTCTTCGATTGTTTGTGATCTCTGTTTCATTAGCATATTCACCCCTTTCGCAACTTTAGCTTCCTTGATTTCTACTTTCCTTGCCAGGATGGAACAGATTGTTGATTTCGACTTCCCATACATCCTGGCAAGCTCAGCTAAATGTATGCCACTTTCATATTTTTCAATTCTATCATGTTTCTCACTTTCTTTACCAAAGGGCTGACACTAGGAACTTTCTTTGGGCCCATGGTGGCTTATTTTGTAGTCACAATCAATAAACAAGCACAAAAATTGTGAGATGTTTCGGATGAATGCTCACTCAACTAGTGACAAAGCCAGACTGAGGCGGCATCCCGGTGGGCGAAAGCGTCTGATACGTACGATTCCTGGGACAAGGTACAAAATCTGGATCAAAATTTTGCCCAAAAAAGTGTTCTAAATCCGAAACATCTGATATCCGGTACATGTGTAATCCAGGATTCTACTGTGCATACATAATTAAAACACTGGTGTTCATTTATCTAGTTATAATATTTTAATTTTCAATATTTGCCATTCAGTGCTGATACATTACTAATTATCATAATGTGTAGTTCAATGTTGCCACATTACTAATTATCAAAACTTGAAGTTATATGTTGCTGCAGTACTATTTATCAAGACTATTATAATTTAGAGTTGCTACAGTACTAATTATGAAGAATTGTAGTTCTATGTTGCTGCATTGCTAATTAAATAGGTTTAAGTTCAGTACTTCTACTGTAATAATTCTATGAGAAATTGATACTGTTTTCATGAACATTACAAAATTTAATGTTCATTTCTGTGATATTTTGTATCTAGAGGAATTAATAACAGTGTAATATTGTGTGGATAATGTTGTGCAAGCATTATAGCTGTTTTGTCAGATGAAAGTTGCAGAGAAAGATACTCATATTAGAACAAGTTTCTTTTGCGGACATGTTGATGTTTCATTGTAAGTCTTGATGATAAAGATCAACACAGAGTGATAAATCATTCCAATTAAAGCTCATTCTACAAAGAGTGTCTTTTCTTCACTCTTGTCAATAGCATGTTATTTGGAACCATGATAATTGTAGTAAAACATGATGATGAAAGTCTGGTTTGCTGGACTTGAGTCCTAGGAGGTGGGAAATAGAGTGCCAGTACTCTGAAGGACAGGTGGGGTGTTGCACTTTGGATTCTTATTCAAATTTGTGTTCTCTGTGCATTTCTGGCTAGACACTTATTGAATAAATGATGGTGAATGTGTTTCCTTTTCCTGGGCTCTGCTGTCTCACTGATAGATAGCCAGTGTTAAAAAAATTGACATGTAAATGATCTTTTATAGAGTTGAAGCTGGCCTTCACCACATAAAGGAACCCACAGTTCTTCATATCAAGGTTATTGGGCACCTGTTAGGAGGTCCATCAGAATTACGTCACATTACTACCAGCTTTATAAACAGTCTTGCGCACAACAATCAGCTGATGCATATGGTATGTATTACATATTACATATATTCAAGGGGAAGTGCTAAACTCTTAGGGTTTATACAGTTCTTGAGGAATGGCAGGCAGGTTTGATACAAGGAAGGAGAGCATAGCTTAGATTCCTTATTACAGCATTTGAATTAATATTTATTAGTACAGTATTTATTAGTGCCAAATATTTAGTGTACAAATATGGGTCTACAAACACACCCTTGATTCTGCACAAGTCACTTTCAGGTGGCATATGATCTCCACTGGATGCACTGAGCACAAGAACCATAACTGAGATGAGTGAGTAGCTCACAAGGTGTCATCCTTTTTTGTACAAGCTGTAACTGTGCACACAGAAGAGATGATTTCATCTAAATAGTTACATGCCATCACTATTTCTTGTGTGGCTTGATTTCTATTAGAATCACAAGCCAGGCAAGAATGAGAGTCTAAGCTAGTCCGAGTATCCTCTGATTTACTTTTTTTTTCTCGTAACCTTGTTCTGTTCAGTGTATATTGATTTGGAATATACCTGTTTATGAAGTCAGGGCAAACAGGCAAATGTTTGTTTGAATATGTTACTTTTGAATCCTCCTGTTTTGAAAGTCTCTATATGTTAAACATTCTTGGAGGTTCTCTGGGTTGCATACCCCAGAAGGGAACATTGAAGTCATAGATATGTATGTTTCAGTTGGTGGATCATTGAGAAGTTTCAATTCCATCAAGGATGTGGCCCCAGTCCAAAGGTCTCCAGGGAATTTGATGTTGTCTTTCACTAGAAATTTAGCTGACAGCTTCTTACCCTTTATTTAGAAAGGGCCAGTGGTTCTTTTCTGTCCCATCTGAAACTGAAACTTCTCAGTTAATATAAACACATGCAAGTTTGTGTTATAGAAGACTTCACAATATTTACTATGGCACCCATATTTAGGAATGGCATTATATATTTATCATACAGTAGGGCCCCAACTAAAGATATTAAGACTTTCCTGAAAATTTATAAGTAGTGTATTTGATACTTCCCTAGAAACCCATGTTACAATCAGAAATACATTCTCCAGGCATAATTTTCAGTATTTAATTTCATATATTTTTTTAATCTGAGGAGAAAAGAGAGAGAGAGGGAGGTTGGGTGAAGATATGCAGTGTGAGAAGGTATTGGTGAGTGGAGTGGTATTCCTGGGCATAAGTATTATAGGGGGCTGTAAAGAGAGAAGGGGATTATGCTGTTGATGGAGAGATGAGGGCATTTTTCTATGATATTGCCTAGGGCACTAAAAATGACAAGACCATCAAGAGAAAATATACAGTGGAACCTCGGCTTAAGAACTTAATCCGTTCCGTGACCTTGTTCATATCCTGATTTGTTCATATGCTGAGTTAATTTTCCTCATTTAAATTAATTGAAATGCAATTAATCTGTTTCAGCCTCTCAGGAGGCATGACAAAATAATGCTAATATGTTAATATGTCATCTAATATGACATAATAAACAATATTAATAACATAGAAACATGATGAATGAACATAGAAACATGATTAATGAATAAAATAGGCCAAAATACGGCGAGTGATGGCGATGCCGGCAGCATCCGCTACTCTCCCACTCTAGTATCTTCCCAGTCCATAACCCCACACCTAGCTTGTGTTTATGATTAGTGGTGAGGTTGTCACATATGTAACCACAGGTGTGGTCAAGACAGATGTACACATATATATAAGTGAAGATGGGGTTGTTGTGGTGGCGAGGAGCCTCACTCTCTGCAGCTGCCTTCTTCGTTTTTCTAGCTTTTTTCATGGTTTATAATCACTTCTTGCTGATCGTACATGAATAACATCTCTTCGGGCGAGGCATTGTGTAAGAAATTTGTATAAAACAAAATTACACATCCAAAGGGTCTGCTGCGGTCACTCAGAGCAGCACACCACCTCTTTCTTTTGACCCTTGGTTGGCACTGATGTGTGGTCTAGCAATTCTACCTACAGCCACACAGAGGTTTACCAATTTATGTTTTGAAGCATTTGGCACAAAAATATGAAAAAAAATTATGAAAAATGTCTAAAGATGATGTATTATTATTATTACTATTTTATTGTATTATTATTATTGTTATTATAACTACTATTATTATTATTATTATTATTATTAGTATGTACATATTATTATAATAATAATTATTATTATTATTATTAATTTAGGGAACTGGAGCACAGATCCAATTCCCTAGATCAAGAGCCCCTCACAATGTACATACTAATAATAATAATAATTATTATAATAATATTATATACATATTATTATTATTATTAGTAGTAGTAGTAGTACAGTGGACCCCCGCATAGCGACTTTAATCCGTGCAAGAGGGCTCATTGTTATGCGAAATGATCGGTATGCGAATGAATTTTCCCCATAAGAAATAATGGAAATCAAATTAATCCCTGCAAGACACCCAAAAGTATGAAAAAAAAAATTTTTACCACATGAAATGTTAATTTTAATACACACAAACTGAAAAAGGCATGCACAATTACATGACACTTACTTTTATTGAAGATCTGGTGATGATTGATGGGATGGGAGGAGGGGAGAGAGAGTGTTAGTGTTTAGAAGGGGAATCCCCTTCCATTAAGACTTGAGGTGTCGAGTCTTTTTCTGGGGTTACTTCCCTTCTTCTTTTAATGCCACTAGGACCAGCTTCAGAGTCACTGGACTTCTTTCGCACAACATATCTGTCCATAGTGGCCTGTACCTCTCGTTCCTTTATGACTTCCCTAAAGTGTTTCACAACATTGTCAGTGTAATAATCACCAGCACGGCTTGCAATAGCTGTGTGAGGGTGATTTTCATCCATGAAGGTTTGCACTTCAAGCCACTTTGCACAGATTTCCTTAATCTTTGTAGTAGGCAATTTCTTCAATTTCTCTCTACCCTCCTTCGAACCAGTTTCCTCAGGTCTGGCCTCTTGCTGTTGAAGTTGATCTATCAGCTCATCAGTGGTTAGTTCTTCATTGTCCTCCTCCACCAACTCTTCCACATCATCCCCACTAACCTCCAACCCCAAGGACTTTCCCATGCCACAATGGATTCCTCAACTGGCATAATCCTCTCGGGTTAGCCTCAAACCCTTCAAAATCCCTTTTGTCTACACATTCTGGCCACAGTTTCTTCCAAGCAGAGTTCAAGGTCTTCTTAGTCACTCCCTCCCAAGCCTTACCTATAAGGTTTACACAATTGAGGATATTAAAGTGCTCTCTCCAAAACTCTCTTAGAGTCAGTTGAGTTTCTGGGGTCACTAAAAAAGCACCTTTCAAACAAAGCTTTTGTGTACAGTTTTTTGAAGTTTGCAATAACCTGCTGGTCCATGGGCTGCAGGAGAGGATGGTATTAGGAGGCAAAAACTTCACCTTAATGAATTTCATGTCCCCATAAAGTCGCTCTGCCACGTCTGTGGATGACCAGGGGCATTGTCTAACACCAGGAGCACTTAAGTTCTAATTTCTTTTCAGTTAGGTAATCTTTCACATTGGGGGCAAATGCATGGTGTAACCAGTCATAGAAAAAGTCCCTAGTGACCCATGCCTTACTGTTTTGCCCTCCACACACACACAAATTCTCCTTGAGGACATTTTTTGGGGCCTGAACGTCTGGGAGTTTCAGAGTGATACACTAAATAAAGGCTTCACTTGCAATCAACCAGTAGCATTGGAACACATCAACAAAGTAAGCCTGTCTTTCATAGGCTTATGTCCTGGGAGTGCCTTTCCCCTCAGTAATGTAGGTCCTGCTGGGTTTTCTTCAAAACAGGCCTGTTTCATCACAATTAAACACTTGTTCGGGTTTCCCAGTCCTTCACTGTCTAAGTACTCCTTAAATTCCTGCACATAATTTTCAGCTGCTTTGTGGTCCAAACTGGCAGCCTCACCATGCCTTATCACACTATGTAATGCCACTACGCTTCTTAAATCTCTCAAACCAACCTTTGCTGGCCTTAAATTCACTCACATCATCACTAGTTGCAGGCATTTTTTTAATTAAATCCTCATGCAACTTTCCCAGCCTTTTCGCTTATGATCGCTTGAGACGCTATCTCCTGCTAGCTGTTTTTCATTATCCACACCAATAAGAGTCTCTCAACATCTTCCATCACTGCAATCTCTGTTTCGAAAACACAGTTAAACCTTTGGCAAGAACAGCTTCCTTGATTGCCTTTCTGTTGCCCACAATAGTAGCGATGGTTTTATTTGGGTTTCTTGTACAACCTGGCCAGGTCGGCAACATGCACTCCACTTTCATACTTATCAATGAATCTCTTTCTCTCTCTATAGTAATTCTCACCTTATTCCTGTAGGGTTGGGACTAGAAGCTTTCTTGGGGCCCATGGTCACTTATTTTCCAGATAAAATCACCAAAAACACTGTAATAATACAAAATGTTCCGATTGTATGCTTGGATGTTACCGCGGAGGCTGGCTGGTAAACAATGCCACCGGCGGCACATGTGAGGCTGGCTAAGGGCGCACATTGGACGCGTCTCGGACGAAGAGCGGTGAGCGGGTTTTTGAGCGGTATGCGAGGCAAAATTTGTGTGATAAAAGCGAGCGGTATCCGGATTGAATGTTATGTGATGCGTACAGTATGCGGGGGTCCACTGTAGTACGTACATACGTATTATTATAATAATAATTATCATTACATATTATTATTATTATTAATTTAGGGAACTGGAACACAGATCCAATTCCGTAGATCAAGTGCCCTTCACCAAGGAACCTCCCTTGAGGGGGAAGAACATATCACAAAATTTCGTTCGTATCCAGAAGCAAAAAAATCAACTGAATGATTTTCCGTATTCTGAAAAGTTTGCATGGTTGGGCGTTCATAAGCCGAGGTTCTATTGTATAAAGGAGGGTGTTGTGCGAGGTCCATGCCTTGCCCATTGAACATGTCCAGTACAGTGCACAGGAGCAGCTAGGGGCTATCATAGTCTGTCTAAACACCTTTAAGAAAATAGTGAA